CTCAGGGGGTCTCTGCGGGATCTGTGGGGGGCTTTGCAGGATCCGTAGGGGGCTCTGCAGCCTGAAAAGCCCACCACAGATCCTGCACAGCCCCCCTGAGATCTGGCAGGCTGCAGGGTCTCGGGGGATCTGTGGGGGCTTTGCCGGTCTCAGGGGTCTCTGCAGGATCTGTGGGGGGCTTTGCAAGATCCGTAGGGGGCTCTGCAGCCTGCAAAGCCCACAACAGATCTTGCACAGCCCCCCTGAGATCCTGTAGACTGCAGGGTCTCAGGGGGTCTTTGCATGATCTGTAGGGGTCTTTGCAGTATCCGTAGGGGGCTCTGCAGCCTGCAAAGCCCACAACAGATCTTGCACAGCCCCCCTGAGATCCTGTAGACTGCAGGGTCTCAGGGGGTCTTTGCATGATCTGTAGGGGTCTTTGCAGTATCCGTAGGGGGCTCTGCAGCCTGCAAAGCCCACCACAGATCCTGCACAGCCCCCATGAGATCCGGCAGACTGGAAGGTCTCAGGGGGTATCGGTGGGGGCTTTGCCGGGGGTCTCTGCAGGATAGGTGGGGGGCTTTGCAAGATCCATAGGGGGCTCTGCAGCCTGCAAAGCCCACCACAGATCTTGCCCAGCCCCCGTGAGATCCAGAAGACAGAAGGGTCTCAGGGGATCTCTGCAGGATCTGTGGGGGGCTTTGCAGGTTCTGTGGGGGGCTTTTTCAGGATCCATAGGGGGCTCTGCAGCCTGCAAAGCCCACCACAGATCCTGCACAGCCCCCCTGAGAACCTGCAGGGTCTCAGGGGGTCTCTGCATGATCTGTGGGGGGCTTTGCAGGATCCGTAGGGGGCTCTGCAGCCCACAAGGCCCACCAGAGATCCTGCACAGCCCCCTGAGATCCGGCAGACTGCAGGGTCTCAGGGGGTCTCTGCAGGATCTGTGCGGGGGCTTTGCCGGGTCTCAGAGGGAGCCTGTGCACTGTATCCAGCGGCTGGCAGGTTACGCAAGAATTATTAAACAGGAAGGGGTAGGGTAAATTTAGTGGGGGGAGGGGGGGGCGCCCGAGTTTTGCCTTGCCTAGGGCAGCCTCAAACCAGAATACACCACTGGAATAACCCTCTAAGTTGCTGAGAGAATGACATGAATAACTATATTGCTTCTACAGATTAATTCCTCCACACTTCCTGCAGTTATAGGATCCAGTGAGTGCTTGTTTTAAAGCTCATATACTGCTTGAATGTCCATAGCCTGGCCACAGGTTTACTTAAAGTGACAATAAAGCCTAAAATGCTACCCCCTACCCCCCCTGCCCCCCGTCCCATCCCCATGCTTGTGTAAGGGCATACCTTAAATGATGCCTCTTGGTCCGATCATCTTCTTTCCAGTCATTTTCAGGAGTGCCTTCCAGCGCTGGTGCCAGTCTCTTGCTAGCAGTAAATATATGCAAAAAAAACGGGAGGCTTTAATGATCCTTTAAGTCTCATTCCAATGTTTTAGTTAACAGGATTTAGTACTCAATGTGAATATACTTTCGCCTTTGTATAAGTGACACTAAACGCAGGAAATAAATCTTAAAATGGATTCAAGTACCTTAACAATTAACAAAAATGTAGATTTCTGTATCACTCAGCTGCAGATCCTCAAATCATCTCTGAATTGGTGCTGACACTGTCCTTCCTTCTGGGTGGGGCTACTTTTGTTCCCCATGGTCCCTGTGTGTGTTGTAAAGTAGCCACCGCTCCAAGCTCGCTCCTGTGATGGACTACAATTGCACATTTAGTTTACTAATTTGTATAGAGATTGTAGTCCATCATGGGCGTGAGCTTGGAGCAGTAGCTACTTTACAACACACACAGGGACCATGGGGAACAAAAGTAGTCACCCTCCAGAAGGAAGGACTGTGTCAGCACCAATTCAGAGATGATTTGAGAATCTACCCATGAGTGATACACAAATAAGGTAAGGCACTTGAAGGCAGTTTAAGATTTAACTCCTGAGTTTAGTGTCACTTTAAGTAAATTGTACCTCCTTTATTAAATATTTCCTTTACTGAAAACAGGCAAGGATATATCTTTCTGAAGACTAATCTATTGAAAGTGTTACTGACGTGTCAATAAATTGTATCCATGTTCCTAACACTTTAGTGAAAATTACAAAGACCCATTTACACTTTAGTGCTTAAAATACATGTGCTTTCATTATGCATTTTATAGAACATCTCTGTGTAATGAGTTTTTACCCCCAGTTGAAACAAGTGCTTCCCTGTGGGGAGATAACTTGCTTAATTTTCTGTGCAGCTGGATACACTACAACACATGTAAAACACAAATAATAAAAGCATTTTAAATGTAATACCATCAATCTCACTACAAAACATTCATATACTTAAAGGAGAACTATGACATGAGTGATTTCCACTCACCTCATAGTTCTAAGCCGACCTGTGACAATGAGACTGTCACAGGTCGGCTCAGTAGATCGGGAGGTGAGAGAACACATACCGGGTTCCCTCACCTCTCGATCCTGTCACGGCTCTCTGCCGTGACAGGGGGAGGGGCTGGATTCCCCTCTCCCCGCTCCGATCTGCCAGCGCTGACTGGTGGAACGGACGGGGGAGGGGGCGGGTACAGCTGGCTCTGCCTCTAGATAGGCAGAGCCAGCTGTCACTCACGCAGCTGGGCGGATCCCGTCATCTAAGTCGGGATCCGCTCCAGGTGCGGCGTCTCAGTATACCGCGAGCTGTAGCTCGCGGTATACTGAGCTTAGGTTAACGGGAGGACGCTAGTTTGTGTCCTCCCGTTACCCCAAGGAGAACTATGGGGAAAAACTCTGACCCCATAGTTCTCCTTTTAAGTGAGATTTTTCAAAAAACCATCATCACAGAAGCACATCATTGGGAATTTAGCCCCTGGAAATAATGGTACTGGTTGTAATATATTCTTTGGGCACAGTGTGGTAGAGCACTCCCAAAGCACAGAGAAATAATGGATCCTAAAGGAGGAGAAAAGGGTAATTTTTCCTTAATTGTAAAGGTTTTGATGTATGTTTGAAGTGATAAATTCAAGTGTGCTATAAGAAATAACCTCATTTTAAATGACATTCCCACCATTTCCAGCACACTAACATTCAGCTAATTAAGGGGGACTGAACCTTGGAAGCCCCAAAAAAGGCAGGCAGAGGACAGCAGACCAGTCACCAGTATTACCTATGGGCTTCCTGCAGCTGATCTTTTCCCCTTTTTTTTCAAAAGGCGTTTATTTAACAATTTTCGATATAAAAGAAAAAGGGTAAACAAAGCCCCAACATAAGCAACACAACACACACATACGCATATCCACCATTGGATCTTGTGTCCTTTACTTACTTGCCTTGTTGTGTCTCTGTGTGGAGGGGGACATCTTGGTATGTCAGAACCTCCAGCAAGAGTACAGTAACAACAACAACATAGTAGTAATATAATTAAATCTAATTCCAAATCTCCAGAGACTAACAGTCAGAAGCAGCAGTGCCTTAGATCTCACACTGCAGATATACAGCTATGAGACTGTATGCACATGAGTTCTTAGGAACCCCCATATACCAGGTGCCAATGCTATTTTTCACCAGCAATGCTACTTTTCAGGAAGAATTCCAGACAAAAGGTACATATTTCAGGGTACAGCTTAGGCACAATTAACATTTCTGAATATTCTCAATAGTCCCAATAGTTTCACTTGACAAAGGATTTGTTATTCTGTTTAGTCAGACTTATGATTCACACACTTCTGCCAAAGCTATGAAGATCACTCTTTATTTTCTAGTTCAAACTTGTTGCAGCCAAATTGGGATAACGCCTACTTTATATTTGTTACATGATCTCATTCACATAGCATAACAATTTTTTTTTTAATTGCTGTTTCAATGTTTAAATGCTTTTTACTTGCTTAAAAATATTACCGAGCTTCCCCCTTTGTAATATTAAGGAAGGGGCTGTGGAGTTAATGTTTACCATAATTAATCCTGTCTGTACTGTGCTGGCAGAGCTCATTATCATTGTAAATCAGATTTCAACACTGCCTGGCCTAACAAAGGGTTAAAGATCTTGAGGTTTGGATCCTGTATTCAATGTTAATGAGGGGAAAGCTGGCTCTGTCCCCTCTATGCCTGTCATGGACCCAGGGGGGCCGTTCCTCACCAGGCTCGACCGGCGCGGGCATCGGGCACGGGCTCCTCCTCGTCCTGGCAGGGCATCTGGCACTGGTGTGGCCAGTGCGCATGCGCGAGTCGCGCACCGGGTGCGCGGTACGCAAGCCGCGTGCGCATGCCCGGAAGCGCGCGCGTAGTGCGCCTGCGCATCCCACATTCCAGGTACTACTCAGGCTGGGGGAGGACTCCAGCATTCACCAACTTCCCTCGGCCTTGCGATTGGCTCCTGACTGGGGAAGCTTCCTGGTTGCCCTGGCAACCAGGGGGCAGTCCTGGGTTCCTTTTGTATATAAAGCTGGTCAGAGCCTTGACTCATTGCTGAGTTATTCTACCTCATGGTGAACACCCAGCTCCCTCCTGTGAACCTGTTTATTGTACTGACTTCCCGGCTACCGACCCTTTCGCCTGACCCTTCGCCTATGACTCTTGCTGCCTGCCACGACCCGGAACTGGACTTAACTACTCTATTTGGATTACCCTTTTGTACTGCGATTTTGGACATATTTCGTCCGTGCCAAGGGGTTCCACTCCCGGCCCACTTTCTTGGCCTGACAATGCCCCTCTGAAATTGCTCAGAAGAGCTTACAGCCCTGTGTATAATTATGCTTCAAAGAAAAAATATACTTAAGACACATTTTTAAAATGTTATTTTTAAATATGCTGTGTCGATGAGAACACATAACAAAGTTCTCAAATTTGACTGCAAACGTGGAAATACACTTTAAGACAGGGGTCCCAAAGTATCGGCCCTCAGGCCAATTGCGGCCCACGAATCGATACTATATGGCCGGCAGCCAGCTGAAAAGTCAGGCATGCAGTCACGGACCGCGTACCTGACTACCTTCATCTCTGTTGGATGCAGACCGCAGCGCTGCTACTGGCTGTGCTGGCACCTCTTCACTGAGCGCTGGCCAAAAGGATGGATTAGTAAGACATGCACCAGCCAAAGGTGCAGATCTTGCTAATCAACCACTGGATCACCAGGGATTGTGCCTCCTCCCTGCAAAAACGTAAGCAGGTGAGGGGGCTCTTTGTTTTATTTTATGTGTGTTGGGGGTCGAATGGAGGGAGAGGTTTTTTTTTGTGGGGGGAAACGGGGGGAGAGTGTACTATGTGAGTGTATTATTTTATGCGTGGGGTGTGGGGGGTGGGCAAAGGGGGGAGAGTGTATTATTTTTATGTGGTGGGGCAGGGGGGGGGGTGTACTATTTTATGTGTTGGGGAGGGAATGTATTATTGTGTTTTAGTGTGTGTGTGTGGGGGGGTGGGGGGTATTTCTGTGTGTGTGTATTAAGCCCCATTCACACCTATAAGTTTAGGTGCGATTAGGGATTCCTGCATCAGGAACGTGCATTTTCCTGCAGCAGGAATCCCTAACCTGCCATTTACCCATTTACAAGCAGCAACTGTAACCCATTCAAGCTAATGATCGGGTGACAGACGCTGCATGTAAACTCCGGCACACCACATGTAATGGTATGTGATATGATTTACATGAGGTTTGGAACCAATCACTATCCTTGGACGCATCAATCATGCAATCAAGGAGAGTGTTTTCTAACTACATGCAATCATACAATTACTGTACGTGTGGTGTGCCGGCGTTTACATGCAGTGGCTGTCACCTGATCATTAACTTGAATGGGTGACAGCTGCCACTTGTAAATACCAGATTAAGAAATCCTGCTGCAGGAAAATGCAAGTTCCTGACGTAGGCATCCCTAATCACACCTAAACTTACAGGTGTGAATGGGACCCTATTGTGTGTATACTAGTGTGTGAATTTCTGGTTGGGGGGGGCGTATTTTTGTTTGTGCGTATTTCTATGTGTGTGGGGATGTGTGTATTTCTGTGTGTGTGCATATTTCTGTGTGTGAATCTGTTGATCCTCTATGATTAAAATTAAAACCTGTGGGGGAAAAAACGCACACATATACTGACACTGTACACATATACACATGTATACATACTGATATGACACACACCGAAACATTTACACACATACCGACATCACTCACAGAAATCCTGACGATACACACACAAACCATCACAAAACCATCATAAACACATGCAGACATTAACAATGCTATAGTTCAAGTTTATTTTGAAGTATGAAATTTGGCAAGCAGCCCCCATGGGAGAAAAAAATGTGTCCAGTTGCCCCTAAGTGAATTGAGCTTGAGAACCCTGCTTTAAGATCAGCTCTGACAGTCTCATGTTTCCTGCACTGGGGAAGAGGGAGGAGATCCTTTGGTAAGAACAGGAGTTCAGTTGGTGCAAGTGTAATGCATGGAAATATTTTAAGGCTTAGAAAATAGAATCCATTGGTCACACATATATATAAAATATTGACAGGCAGGCAATTTAACATCTAATACTGCTTGAAAATAGATTTTGTTTCTGACTATTACAATGGAATGTTCAGTGTGTGCTGCGGCGGGTAATAAATGTAATGTTTAAAATATAAATTACTCTCTGCCCTTTGCAGCTGAAAGCTCAGCTCATGTATATTGGCACCTTAAATCAGACCCTGAATGACAGTCTGGGCTCTATTTCGGATGCTGTGGTAGGTCTAACCATATCCCAGCTGCAATCACTGTCACCAGAAGCGGTGCAGGGGGCTATCCTAACACTGCAACAAGTCTCCGGGTGGACCAAGAGTCAGATCATGATCTTAACCAAAAAGTTTCTCCAATCTGAAAAGGTAACCTTGAAATAAGGCCTTCTATAAATAAGACCTTCTACAGCATTAGATTAACAACTTGCCTTTTATTTCCTATGTTTCTACAGAACTTAACATATTTCAATGTTAGCCAGCTTGGAGAACTGGTGACAGGCGTCAGTTCAGAATTGTTTTATGAGATGAATTCACGGGAGCTTTTACTGGCTCTGAAAAATGGACTTTCCCAACATGCACCAGGAATTTCACCAGCACAGCAAGAAAGTATTCTTAGTAAGGTAACCTAACCATTTTAGATCAGGCAGGTTAAAGGCAAACAGATAGCTAAGGTGAACACTTTGGGACTATTTATAAACAATTTGCAGAGCCATTCACCCCGCAAATCTTTGTAAACGTTAATTTTGTGTAAACAGAGGCAAAAACGAATGAAAGGTTCTTCGTATATATTTTTGCACAGGTGCAGCACTTTTTTTCCGTATCCTGCAAAATATAAGCTCAGCATGCCAGGCATGCTGGTTGATATCCCCAAAGCAAGGGGGCAACAAGCATGCAGCCCCTTTTCATGCTGACATCAGCTCCCATAGCTTGCAAAGATGTTATTTCTCATGTTTAGTTCCAAGTATGTAGACGTGATAACGCCAGTGGTCCTTAGACCACTAGAACAAGGGAAGAAGAGGCTGTGGGGACCGGTCTAGCAGCCTGGGCTGAGATGGTAATAGTCAGAATCAGGTAAGTAAAACAGTTTAACATTGTCCCTTAGACATAAATGAGCACCTAGCCCCACTACAAGGGTATGGCTTTTTTTATTCCTGGAAATGGGCTTTAAGGCAGTTATATAATATAGTAATATTCATTGCAGTTATGACCAATAGCAAGCCGTGTTAGTAAAATAAAAGTCTTTATTTCTCTCAAAACGCTCCAACAGAAACAGCTTTGCTTCAGCAAACACAACAAATGAACAAAAACTCCTCTTCAATATAACGGAAGATCCAGCTCCCTGCCTGTATACATATGTGCCGTGTCAGGGTTAGCATCCCAGCCTGCTCTCAGAGGGTCAAACTTAGACACCGATGCCCAGCAGCTTCTCAGTAGCAGACAGTCCACAGCTCCACACAGCCATGTCGTTCTCCAAACACACCTCACAGACCACTGCAGGCTGGTTTCCTGTGCACTTTGAGCACTCCCAGCAGGTGGGTTAACCCTTACCAAGCCCCAGTGCCTCTAGCCAGAGTTGGAGGCTCTTTCCCACCCAATATCTCTCCGAGCCTCCGGATTCCGGGTCCCATTTCAGGACTACCAATTTTGGGAAAACTGTATAGCAGTTTCCCTATCTATATTAGGGCTGCGGAAATTAACGCTTAATTTCTTGATTAATTGTTAATCTTTTTGATTGATTAAAACATTTTTGATCGCTAATTGTAATCGCCGCCGTCAGCTCTAGCAGGACATCGGGAGAAGCAGCAGCCAGCAGCAATTACCCGGCCGCTTGCGTTCCATGGTGGAGAGCACGTTCGTCACTTCCGGGTTCGGAGGCCGGGTGCGTTCCGCCTTGGAACGCGGAAGTTCGCCGTTGCGTGCCGCGGCTCCTCCTCCTCTCCATAGCCCTATTTAAACGCCCAGACGAGACAGCATGGCGTTCCACTATTGAGCCAGAACGCCTGCTGTCTCCTGGGACCCTCCATAGTCACCAGCCTGTGCCTTCCAGCCACTCACCTACAGACCGGACTGCCTAAGGACCCCCAGCTCCTTCCATCTACTCCACCACCACAACCGCAAGTATTCTGTGCAAATGCACACTTGTCATAGAGACTGATTGCCATTGTGGACTTCCATGTAATGCCTTACTACTTGCTGGGGAACTCACTTATAGCCTGTATTGCATTGGTGCTCTCTCTCTGACCTGTACTCAGTAATTCCTAATTCAACTCTGGTGCTTAAGGGAAGGGCTTATGAAGGAATAACCCTCTCTGAACCATATATATGTTATTTTGAGGATGTGATGCTTGAAACCCTAACTCTCCGTTAAGTTTGAGAGTGAAATCAGGGTTTCCGCCTGAGAACCCTCCGGAGTTGCGATCCACAACCCCCCAAATCACTAACAGGCGTGACACT